GGGGTCCAGTTTTGGGGGGGTTGTTTCGTTTTTAAAAAAAGAGAATCCTGGATGTACCCAGAACTCACCAGGACACTAAAAGCTGCACTATAAAAATGTGAAGTTTGGCCTTTCATAAATAACTTGGCTTTTCAAGAGACAGAAAGAGACAATGAGCAAGACAGAAGTCTCTCAGTGGCTGCAGTTCCCAGGGGTGCAGATGTAGGTGGTGAACTGTGAACATGAATAAATTAAAATAATAAAAATAATAATAGAGTATACGGTACTTTTCCTTTATCCTGGTAGCAGATGTACTAGGTGACCACTTTTGCCTAGGCAAGGAAAAAAGTGTCCCTTATAAAACTGGAATAGCACAAATGACCCCCTTGATAAATTGCTTAGTTACATTCTCAGCATTGAATCAACTTGGCACGGAGCACAGCAACCAAGATCCATGGCAGGCTGCCTGGATCATGCTGCCTGCACCCATTTTGATCCGTGTCTCCTTTTGACAGACTCCAAGAGAATCGGACGCCAGCCAGTCCTGGTTAATCGAGAAGACATCCCCCCCCGCCTCTGCAGCACTTGCAACCTAGTTCCTCCAGGACACAGTTCAAACAGGAGAGCAAGGAACTTCACAGGGAATCCCAGAGACAGGATCTGATGTCAAGAAAGCAAACTAAGGCCTGGGGTTATTTGCGCTCCAGCAATATTGAGAGGCCCCCAGCGAGATCAGTGCTCTGGGAGACATTTGTCTTGTACAAGAGACAACCCCATGCCCCCCAAATCAGTCTGAAATAGAGGAAAAAATAAACCATAGGGTGGGATGGCAGAAGCCAAGTGCCTTGCCCAAGGTCATCCAGTGAGTCAGAGTCAAGCCTGCATTAAAAGCCAAGTACATCCCAGTGTCCTAAACACTGGCTCACGCTGCTTTCCCATCAGCTACCGTCTACCATTTCCATCCTGATCTCCCAAGTACAAAGGAAAGCAAACACTTCAGGTCAAGGTACGAGAAATCCCCCCCAACAGATACCCACGAACAGCACATACCAAAGAAGCTGTGCAGAAAAACACATGCCATTGTGGCCTGACTATCCCAGGAGCAGCACATGTATGGAAGCTGCTCAAAGGGAGCCTGAATGAATTGCCCCCCAGGTTGCAGGCTGATGGAGGCTGGTGCCCTCCATCAGTGTTTTCCCATGTTCCCTGGGCAAAGATGACTCAGGGAGGTCCCCCCGCCCCTTTACTGCACACACTTGGCCTTCGGGGTCTGCTCCTGGGCTACCAATGAGACAGACAGACCACCACCTCTTCTAGACTAATGCTGTTCTCTCCCAGCACAGCTCCTACTTCCTCTGCGCATAGGCCCCATTCCCTCTCCTACTCCCATAGCACTAAATTCTGCCAAACGCAATATTATTAGTCACAGCTGCCTTTGAGAATCTAAAGCCCAATAGTCTTAACCAGAAACCAAGAGCTAGAGACAAGACACAGGTAAAAACAAGGAAGCAAGTTTATTCCAGCCTGACCAAACAGCAAGGCCAGATAGTGGTCCAGCCAAGCACGGAGAGATGTGCTGGAAGCGTGCACACACAGGGCAAGGGTGGGGGGAATAAAAGTCCATCCCTATCAGACCACCCCAGATTTGTAGGGTGAAGGGAGGGCAGAGGCCACGTGACCCATCTTTTCTCCCTACCCCAAGGACAGCAAAGACAAAGAGATTAAGAGCCTTTTCCCCTTCCCTAACCCCTGGTGCACAGAGGGCAAAGCTGACCCAGTGTGAAAGAGGGACTAAGATGCTTATTATAAAGCTCTCCTTGCACGAGCAATAAGGGACCTTCATTAAGGACCGTCCAGGGAACAAACTGTAGCAACATGGGGAACTAAGGGCTCACTCCATCCCTATCCTACGTAGGATTTTGACTGCAAGATGTAGTATTCCAGCATTACTTTAATTGCAATTTAAAAAAAAAAATCCTTTCAAGTATTCTTTGAAGCTGACTTTCCAACCGTGTCACGTTGGTCGCGATTCATTCCCACCCTTGAAGTATGCAACTATCCAGCCACTCTTAGCAGGAGTAATAACCCTCTTCTCAGGCAATCCCTTTGAAATCAATGAGGCTACTCTATGAGCAAGGGGCCTCTCTTAGCGGTAGTGAAGGCAGCAGGATCTATCATCATTATGACATCATCAATAAAAGGAACAGTTTCACAAATAAGACAGTAAAATCAGTCCATAATTCCTCTCCCACGCTTCCCTCTACTCCATTTCTCTGCTGTAAAAAAAAGCCCAAAACTATTTTCCAGATGGGGGGAAAATAACCATAGGCTCGAGTTGTTTAACCAAGTTCCAACCCAGTGAATTTCTGTATAATCCAGTTATAAAATAAGACGGCACTTTGGTCAGTGCTAATGTAAATGACCCCCTTGTGATAGCTTTTTCTTAAATATACTGCACATATGCAGCATTATCTAGCCCACGCACCAATGCATCTCACAGGCATCTTTCAGTGACTACACTTCGCTAATGATTACAAGTGGGGGAAAAAAATGTTAGTTATTGCTTAGAGTTAATAAACAAACTTCAGATCTATTAGGCTCTGTGCTATCTCTGATGAGCTGTGCGCCTCTCAACATCAACTTGCAACCGTAATAAAATCAGGATGTTCTGGAAACAGCCATCTGACCACGCCACTGGGTTCTCTCTGGGGCTTAAGAACGAAATCACGAATATGTCACAAACCCTTTAGTCTTTGGAGGAAAGCGGGTGTACCTTTCAGTGTGGAAGATCTTATACAGAGAACACCTTATCCACAGTTGATTCGACTCCCGTCACAAGTTTAAGCCGCCTGACCGTGTTTGCTAGTTCCTCCAATACAGTACCATCTGAAGAGCCACATGAAGCAGCTTGCCATTGTTTGAAAAGGAACAGTATTGGCAATAGGAATATTGACAGCCCTCAGTTAATTAGCTACAATGAAGTCAGTGCAATATTAGTGGGATTGCCCTCTTTTTTAAGACTGGCTAGAACTACTAACCGATCCTTGTATACACACAGCTCTAGTGCCACACAATGGGTACTTTTGGTTACTACTACCTCCACAACCCCTAGGAAAAAGCGAGGCTGGAACGACAGCGTGTTGAGGACGTGGTCCTGAGGAGGTTCATCATTTGCTTTTAAGTCTTGTAAGTCCAACCCTAGAATAAGCTTACATGCACAACGGACCGCAGCGAGTGACAGACCCAGTCTCCCTGGAGGCGTGATGCCAGCACCACCACTAACTAGTTGTACGTTGGTATGCTCAGGAGTTGATCTCTCGTCTCGACACGTAGGTTGTTGGAGGTCCGAAAATCGCATGAAGGAGGCAGCAGGAGGGAGAACCCTGCCGCCTGGTCCTGATGCATGGAGGACAAATGTGGTACATTTAGAGGGGGAGCTTTTGCAGACCTTGAATGCCAGTAAGAGTAAAGAAAGATGCATAAAATCAATTAAAAAGCCAAGGGTGAATGATCCAGAATAGGTATAATTTTAAATAAAGGGGGGTGAGGTGGAAGAAGAATAGGAAAGAAACTGAATAAAGAGGGGAAGCTGTGTTCCCAGGGAAGGACTAAATGCAGAACAAGTGGGCACAGAAATTAAAATCGAGGCGTAGCATGAAAAAGTCTGATCACACAGGGGAGCAAAAAAAGGAGAACCATAAAACCCTGAAATAAAACACCAGACACCGAGGCAACTGCCCAGCACTCTGGTCATCCCAGCCAAGCGCAGCATCAAGCTAATGGGAAGGTTTCTTATCTACTCAGACAGATTAAAGTGCTTTTGGCTAAAGGGAGGAACAAAATCATAACAGGAAAACTTCTCTCCAAATAAATCTTTGCCCACGAACTGGTTCCCCCCCATCCTTCTCCAGTTGATGTCCCCAGTAAGGACAACTCAGTGGGGTTTACCACAAGAAACCTAAGGAGGACAAGCAGTTCACGAGTCTCCTTGGAGGAAGTCTGCCTTACATAATAAAATCAGGGCTGCATTTCAGACACAAACATAAAGTTGACAAAAAAACAAATTGGCTCCTACACGCACGCACGCATGCATACAAACCAGGTCCCCTCTGCCCATATGGCAAGAGACATATTCAAAGCCTTATTTAGAAACACATGGAAATGGGGAACCCTACCAAGCTAGAGGAAGAAGCTGGCAAATAATCACTTCCCCCACCCCAAAGCTAGACCCTAAATAACATCACAGCAGAAATTAAACTTCAGTCTCAGACCAAATCCTTGCATTGCATTTTGCTGCAAAGGCAGTTCCAGGAGCCTGAGAAGGGAAACCTAAGGGTGTTAACGTTTCCCTTAAATCTACTGATGTCTCCTAAGCTTCTCCATAATTACATATTTGACTTAAATATATATATACTTATATACACACATACACACACACACATATATATACACACACACAAAAACACTGAAGTCAAAAAGCTAACCCTTAAAAAGCACAGTAACTTAAGGGAGAGGAGAAAAGCAAAGTGCTTCTATCTGCATGCAAGGAGTCCTAAATCTATTTTATCAGCTGTAGGGAATCACTAAGGTAGAGAAATAATGAACTAAGCTGCTGAGGAGAGGAGGGGGGAAAAAACAACACAGAGAGAGAAAACGTGATGGCATTTTACTTTCTAGCATGTGAGATGACCATGCAACTGGGCAAATGGATTTGATCCTTTGAAGAAGGGGAATAATGTTGGTTTTTTTTTTTTTTAAAAAGCCTTTCTATGAACCCATCCTTTAGCATTGTTGCTCCAGTAAGATATACCTGCAAACTTTATCTTCTGAAGGTGGCACACAGCAAGCATCCCCCCCACCCCACCCCACTTCATACTCTATGAGAATCTCCCTTTTTGCACACTCACACAGCGTCCCCCTAGATACAAGAACACTGGCGGGGGGTGTCCACCAAATGAAGCTGCAGAGGGAAAAGAAAAAAAAAAATCTCCCAAAGTTACCAGTTCCTCCATGCCACTTACCGGTTGCTGATACAACCAAGAGCCCCACAGAGAGCAGCAGAACCCGGCTCCAGTAGCTCACTTCCACCGTCATGAGAGCAAAGATCCCCAGTTTTCCCCAGTTCCTTCTAAAGCCGCAGCTGCATCCCGTCTTGTCCCATCCCAAAGCAGGTTGCATGTCAAGGGGTTGTGGGGTTGGGGGTGTTG